AAGTTTGACAAAGAGCAGCAATTTGCAAAGGCACCAACCCCAATGTGCGTCATTGAGTCTGGGATGATCAAGCTCGCTAAGGCACTGCAATCCGCAAACGCAGCATCCCCAATGTGGGTCACGGAGTCTGGGATGGTCAAGGCTGCCAAGGAGCTGCAACCAAGAAAGGCACCTTTGCCGATGTGAGTCACAGAGTTCGGAATCATCACTTTGGCCAAAGTGTCGTATGAGTCAAAAGCGTATTCACAAATCTCTGTTTCATCGTGTGGAATCTCAACAACAAGCAACAGTTCCGAGTCGACAATGTCACCAAGACTGGCGATCGCATGTTGGTCGGAACATATTACTTTGTTCTGTTTGAAGACGACTGTCAGAGCACTATCTTCAGCAATTCCAGCATCCAATACCTTTGCATCATTGGCCAGCAATTGGCTGTCTCCGACAATGATCTCCACACTTGTAGTGCAGCGAGTGAGCTCGTCCCAGTGCTGTCCATCTTTGATCTGCTGCTTGAGCAAGCGGCCTGTTGTCTCCGGCGTGACTTCAAGAACTACGATTTCGCCATTTGGCTGCACAGCTGAAAATCTCTTCGCCATGACTCCGAAACTAGAGTACAGATTGGATGATTTTGGATTAGGGGGGTCGCTAGCGTTCAAGAGCACTCTATGATCGTTCGCGAACACATGTTTGGCTTTGCTGGACAGGCGATTTTGACAAGCAGCAACGCAAACATAGCACAAAATCGTCGACACCAGTCACACATGGTCTATGATTTAGATCGGAGTGCTGTGAGAAATTGTGCTCTACAGACCACTGGAATTTCTGGAATTCCCAGTGATGTTTCATCAGCAGGACGGTTTGGAGCCTCTGCGCTCGCTGCGCTCGGTGAGGTACGAACAACGATGCTACCTTCCGACTCCATATATATAGTACTCCCTCAAGCGTCCATGAGGAACACAGGTGTTGAGTCGTCCAAACCCACCAACAGAGGTTAAGTGACCTGAACTAGGACCCGTCACCTGGGGTACCTATGGGATAGTCTATAGGGTCATTCAACCTCTGTTGGCAGAAACTTCCATGAGGATCCATGTCTTGCAAAGCTTTTGGGTGTTACATGGTATGTTTTACGGTTTTGCCAAAAATAGACGATGACGATGACGACGACGATGATGAAGGCATTCTCCCACCATATGGTTTCGGGGGTTGGGGTGTTGAGTTGGTGCGACGCAATCATGTCAAAGCTGCCAAAAAGCTTGTGTATCTTGGTGTGCAAAGTGGGTCCAAATTGAAATCTGCACATGACAGCTACAGAATGTATACCAGCACCATCCTGTATGAACCTCAGGATGGTCTATAGGTATATGATAATATGGCAGCGACTCAATTTGCCCCGCATGGTGGTAATCACCCACCACTTGTACCAAGAGAGGTTGAGAGACCTGAACGATCGGACCCTGGTCTGTGGTTCATATGGGATGGGCTATAAACACGGCTGTTCAACCCCTCTGGTAAGAGGGTCAAAAGCGTCAACATGAGTCACAGTCATGGACTTCCAAGGTATCCCACGGCATCCAGATGTCGCGGATGTCGCTGGTCACCAGTGAAGAATAGATGTATAGAACCTGCTGGTTCCTTGTATAATGGAAGTGGTAGCTGGGATTCATATGACAATATCGAATTGAATTTGCACCCCCAGTTTTTACCAACAAAGACCTGGATGGACTACCTCTCACGCCGAAGCAGGAGATAGTGGAAGCTTCGCAAAGAAGCAAACAAAGGACAACTCTCCACCATGCGACCGACGCAATAGACGAACAAACAACAAAATAACCCCAAAAATGGAAGCCCTATTTATAGGGCGACATCCTAGGGACATCCAACCGTCGGACACCCTACTCTTTCGCCGCAAGGTCCCATCCAACACAGATTGAGCCGAGGTTTTGGATCACATGGAGCTGGTGACCCCAAGTCGGTCACTTTTCCGATGGCGCTGGGATCCTCAACACTGCGGACGGTGATCGGCTTCCCGGAAGAAGCTGCTTCGCTGAGCGTTCGGAGCAACCAACAGGACCGGACCGGTGGAGCCAGCGACCGGGAAAGACGTGGGGGGTTGGACGACCAGGACATCTGACTCAGCATCTGACGTGTTGATCGACCTCTCAAGCCTTGGATTCCTAAGATATACTCCATATATGCAGGTGAAATTTGTCATGGTGACAAAACATATTCCAACATACATGATCACCAATGAAAAAACAGAACATACAAAGCAAAGAACTAACCATTGATATTCTTCATGGGTAGTTCACACCAGAAGTGCTGCGCAAATGACTAGACCTTAATCATCCTTCATCCCTGAAATCTCTTCTTTTTTTCCTCAGAACCGTTCAAAGGTAGAAGATCTGGAGATCCGGATGGTTCAAACATGTTCTGTCAAGCTTCGTGAGGCGGCAGTAGAGAGATGTCTCTTCAACCGTCGGCGGCAAGACCAGATTCGACGCCCTAAGATGTGTCACGTCGCAGGGTTTTAGATTTGGTCACTTTGATCCGGTTAACTGGTTCTTGCTCCCCTCTGCCAAAGAGCGGCAACCCGCAAAGGCACCATTCCCAATGTGCACTGAATCTGGCATGCTCAAGCTCGCCAAAGCACTGCAACCTGCAAAGGCACCAGTTCCAATGCGCGTCACTGAAGCTGGGATCGTCAAGCTCGCCAAAGAGGTGCAACCATTAAAGGCACCATCCCCAATGTGGGTCACAGAGTTTGAGATGGTCAAGTTCCGCAAAGAGCTGCAATCCTGAAACGCGTTATTCCCAATGTGGGTCACTGAGCTCGGGATAATCACGCTTGTCACGGAACTGCAACCTTGAAAAACACTTATTCCAATGAAGGTCACTGAATCCGGGATTGTCAAGTCTGCCAATGAGCTGCAACCTTGAAAACCCCTCATCCCCATGTGGGTCACTGAGTCTGGGATGGTCAAGCTCACCAAAGCAATGCAATTCTCAAAGGCACCATCCCCAATGTGGATCACAGAGTTCGGGATGGTCAATGTTGCCAGGGAACTGCAACCCTGAAAGGCCTTTCGCCCGATGTGCATCACCGAGTTAGGGATGGTCAAGTTTGCCAAGGAGCTGCAACGCAAAAAGGCACGATTGCCAATGTGGGTCACCGAGTTCGGAATGATCAAGTCAACCAAAGAGATGCAATCAACAAAGGCAGCATCCTCAATCTGGGTCACCGAGCTCGGAATTATCAGATCTGCCAAAGAACTGCAGCCGGAAAAGGCATTCTCCCCTATGTAGGTCACAGAGTCCGGAATGGTGAGGTTTGCCAAAGAGGTGCAACCTACACAGGCAGCAGCTCCAATGTGGATCACTGAGTTCGGGATGGTCAACTCAACCAAAGAGCAACAATGCTCAAAGGCCGCATCCCCTATGTGCGTCGCAGAGTCTGGGATGGTCAAGCTCACCAAAGAGCTGCACCCCCAAAAGGCATCATTCCCAATGTGGGTCACTGAGTTTGGGATGGTCAAGGTTGCCAAGGAGCTGCAAGCAAGAAAGGCACCGTCGCCAATGTGGGTCACCGAGTCCGGAATAATCACTGTGGCCAAAGTGTCGGAACCGCCAAAAGCACCTTCACAAACCTGGGTTTGATCATCTGGTATTTCGACCACAAGCAGCAGGTCCGGGTCAAAGGCGTTGTCGCCAAGGCTGGCGATCACATCGTTGTTGGAGCATATCACTTTGTTTGGCTTGAAGACAACACTCACATTAGTATCTTCAGAAATTCCAGCATCCAATACCTTTGCATCATTGGCCAGCAATTGGCTGTCTCCGACAATGATCTCCACACTTGTAGTGCGGCGAGTGAGCTCGTCCCAGTGCTGTCCCTCTTTGATCTGCTGCTTGAGCAAGCGGCCTGTTGTCTCCGGGGTGACTTCAAGAACTAGGATTTCGCCATTTGGCTGCACAGTTGAAAATCTCTTCGCCATGACTCCGAAACTAGTATACACGCTCGCGTTCAAGAGCACTCTATGATCGTGAACACATGTTTGGCTTTGCTGGACAGGCGATTTTGACAAGCAATGCAAACATAGCACAAAATCGTCGACACCAGTCACACATGGTCTATGATTTAGATCGTAGTGCTGTGAGAATTTGTGCTCAGACCAGACCACTGGAATTTCTGGAATTCCCAGTGATGTGTCAGGACTGCAGGACGGTTTGGAGCCTCTGTTTCTTCGGTTCAACCGATGTGCCGTGAAGCCGATTCCTGGTATAGAAGCTGCGGGAACATGCAGTGCAGCTGGAAACTTCCATATGAGGATCATAGAGGGAGTTCTCGTACCATATTTCGAGGTTGAGTTTTGGAGTTTCGGGTTTGTGCAATAGAATCATGTATCGCAAAACACAAGCATGATACAAGCCATGTAAAACCACACAAGTTTGTGCGATACAATCACGTCCAAAACGTTTATTGTGTGGCCGTATACATGGTATATGAGCTTTTACGACCAGCATGACGATCCACACCAGTGGGTTCCGCACCTCAATCCAGATCCGCACGTTCCGAACAGGGGGGCGTTCCGGATCCACGTCAGAACTCTGCTGAAGATCCACCAGCGCCGAACAGTGGTCCACTTCCGACTACCCCACCGAACAGCCCGAGTTGGGAAGGTCCATTTGGACTGGATGTCCCGTACCCAACGAGCACGCGGAGCGAGCACCAAGACGGAGCCCTGCCACCTCCAGGAGGTGAGCTCCTCACCCTGGGAACGATTCTGGCGACTTGTAGTGTAAACTTCTTGGTAAAAGAATGGTGGTTCGGGATTCAGGCTATTACAACAATGGTGGTTCGACTTCTAAGGCTCAGGTTCGGTGATACCTGGACCCTGCACCCGGGCCCCCCGGTCCCACCGCCTCGCGACCCGGTTCGCTCGACGACACGGTTCGGTAGGCCTCGGCCTCCCTCCGAGCCCTCCGGCTTTCCGAGTCGTGGCCTCTTCTTCTTCGAAGACATACAGTTCCAAGGTGCAGCAATCCTCCGCGCGGGCGCGGCGCGGCGGGAGGTGTTGAGGTCTGAAAGGTCCGCCCCAGTTGGACGTGGTCTGAGAGGTCCACGACGAGTCTGAGAGGTCCGCGCCGACCAAAACCGAACGGAGAAGGCGGTTCGCACCAGGTACCTATCCCACACGACCCGTCTGGGACTGCCATAGTTCTGCCGCCCCAGAAAGACCCCCCTGGCACCACCCCAACTGATCGGCATATATATGGCATATATGGAGTGTCTGGGTAATATATGCACATACTATACTACTACTGAACACGAGAGATGCAAGAAGATGCGTGAACAATCGTGAACATGAGTCAGATAATCATAGATAGTCTTAGACTATACCCTATATAGGGAACCAGTCGTACCTTCTCAGCAGGTGATGTCTTCGACACCGCTGCCAGTAGGTCTGGAGGGTCCAATCGTGCCGAACCAGGTCGGTGAAGGTACGACTGATAGCAATAGACTACCCTCAGTTCAGTGATGGAAAGTGAGGAACATGCACTATACCCCAGTCCCCCAGGCCTCGCACGTCCAGGCCCGACTTCAGGGGCACGTAGACTCCGAGCAGACGAGCAGAAGGGTTCATGATGCGCTCGGGGCCCCGCAAGGGGCACGGACGTCATACTGAAACCACGACATATACCATGCACGTATTATTCATACCTGCTGCCACTAAGTAAACAGGAGCTTCGAAGGAGGTGTGGTTTTGGGTCACCCCGAAAATATCACCTCCTTCTCTATACAGATCGACTCATGAAATACTAGTTTTGGCCAAAAAACACGTACTACTCGTCGTGTACGTAGGTCCGTTTTCGACCAGGTTCTGACCTGAGTCGAACCGGACGTACGTATATTGGGTTGACGTACCAAGACGCCTTTCTTTCCGGACATGTCGACACCTCAAAACCCAAGAGGTGTGGTTTTTGGGACAAACCAAGAAAGGCCTCACCTCTTGCCCACATGCTCCGTTCCACAGCCCGACTCCTGGTCTCTCAAAACCACCGGGATGGGTGAGGTTTCCCTGTTCGACTTCTGACCCAGTTCGGATGACCCTGGGTCCGACCCCTGCAGATAGGTTCGGGAGGCCGGGTCTCCCGCCTTCGCGTCTGGGTGGCAAGGCGAATTGGACCCAAGACGTCGTTGGATCACCGATCCGTCCGTCCGGTCAGCGCGACAGAGGAGCACCACGGACCAAAGGACCAGACGATACTCAGAGCCAAGCATGAAGAACCATGGCCCATTCCAAACATGACCCTATTCCATGGCCGGTTCGAATTATATTGCCAAGTATTGGACCTTCCAAGGTTCGAGCTGTTTTGGGACCCAAAACGGTCCCACCCCCGTTTTTCCGGTGCGACGTACGTCGTCTCACGCAGAATACAACAAACGCCACGACCGCGGGGCTGTTTGTCTCCGGTCCTCCTCGCAGCTGGCGGCCACGAAGACGTGATCTTCCGCACGGATCTCCACCTCGCCCTCGGAGTCCGAATCCTAGGAGGTGGCTGAGAGGTGACAGCGGAGAGGTGCGAGATGGGGGAGATGGGGAGAACACTCCATGTATATGCCATATATGCCTACATTGACCCCCAAAACCACCCCAATGTAGGCATATATGGCATACATGGAGTGTTTGGGGAGGTTGGGAGTGGAGAGGTGTTTGAGACAGCGGAGATGGGGGAGATGGGAGCGAGGTTGGGAAGAATGGGGGAGAGTGAGGGTGACGGGAGACAGCGATCTCTCCCAATCCTCGAGGGTTTGAGACAGCGGAAGAGGGAGCGATGGGGGAGATGGGGGCGAGGTTGGGGAGGGAGAGAGTGAGGTTGGGAGACAGCGATCTCTCCCAGGATTGAGACATGTTGAGACGCACCCGGTTGTAGTAGATGATGATGACATGGGGATGCTTGGGAGGTTTGAAGACCCTATAGTTCGACTATCCGACACCCCAGTAATCCCCAGTAGTAGGTTCAGGTCGCTTTAAACCTCCGTTGGGATGGTTGGGAGATGGGGAGACGGATCCTACCCCTACTTGCCCAAGGGTCGTACCGAACCTCAGGTTCGGTACAACTGGACCATCTTGGCACCTAATTACATAATAACAGTGTCGAACACATCAGCGTACCTGAGAAGGTATACTTGGATCTTCTTGGATCCCTTATAGTACTTACTCGATATTACTTGGACCCTTCCAGTTCTGCAGGGGCTTTTTGGACACCCCGAATCACCCTCAACCCGGATGGATGGGGACCCGGAGAACGTCGCATAAATCGGGCGGCAGAGACCTGACCCTAAGAATCCGGGCTCCTTCACCAACACATACTCAAACACTCCATGGGACTGCCATATATGCCGCCCCATTGACCCCCAAAACCACCCCTGGCCTGATCGGCATATATGGCAGTTCCATGGGTCGTGTCTGGGATAGGGGCCCTGGTTCGGGTCCGGACCCCGAACGCGTAACTCGGTGGAGGGTCCGGACCGACCCCACGACCCATGGAGAGCCCGGACTCGGATTCGAAAGGGATGGACATCCGAATCACGGATATTACCCACCCAGACGCGACCCTGGGCCCGAACCTATGGAGGGGTCGGACCCGAATCCGAACTGGTCAGGGGTCTGGGGTCGAACCAATCCCTAGGTTTTGAGGGACCGGTCGGGCTGTTTGGAGCGTCTGGGCAGACACGACCGATGTCTGTCATTTGACGGCCGTCCCCAGAAAGACCTCTCTGGCACCACCCCAACTGATCGGTAAATATGCCAGTCCCATTAGTCGTGTCTGGGTTTGACACCCCATGTTTAAAGGTGGCCCTGGTATATTTCACCTGGAGCATGTCGGATCGGGATGGAAGATCCCAACGAAGTGGTCAGATCCGCTTCAGACTTCAGTGGTGGAAAAGGTCGTCTGTGGGTTGGATCTTCTGGGATCACTGGGAAGCCAGAGCCTTCTGCCCGTTCGAGCCAGTTCGTTCCCCAATCCGTTCCGGGGAGATGACCGTTTCCACCGTCATCCGAAGATGGCCGTCATCGGTCGGTTGATCATCAATGAATCCTGGGACCCCAAATACGACCCGTTCCGGCGGGGCGGTGCCAACATTGAATTACATGGACCCCTTTGAAGGCCACTTGGAATTGTATGGTCATGTATGCTTTTTGCATGCAGTGTCTGGGTAAGAGAATTGCAAAACACAACAATGACTCTTAAGATGATGCTGTTGCGAAGACTTCTCCTCAAGGTAAAACTGCCCCAAGCAGTTGAGAACCAAGCTGTTCCTTCTTCAATCTTGAGGCTTGTGCTGGTGCTCTGCTTCTGCTCGCACGGTGTTGCGAAGCCGCTCCCGTCGGCGTCTGTCGCCGAGGCGCCGAGTCGGGATTGCCCGTCAGGTGGGGGTCCCGCTCGCGCGCCAGCGCGCCGTCAGCGTCCAGGACCGAGAAGAATTGCATGCCTCCGTCGCTGGAGTCCGGTGGAGTCCGGGCCGGGTCGGTGGGGACAGTCAGACCGAGGGATCGACCCTGGGTCGCTCTTGGCGTTGGAAGGTCTGCCCCTGAGTGATTCAAGAGAGGTGCCTCTAAATTCGAGAAGAGCAGGAATCAAAGATATGGGTAATCGGATTCCAAAGGAAACATACTTGTAATGATTTATACTATATTATACCTAAATGCACCTGGGGCAAAAATTTCTGCCTCAGCCCGATTTGCCCGGGAGGATTCGCGGATTTAAGGTAAATCCGCGCCAGGTAGGAATTTCCGCGGCCAGCGGGGAATTTTTGCCTCGAGTAAAATCCGACATAGCAATTCAAAAACCATCACCACTGCCTAACACCGACCAGGTTGTCTCTTCCATGATTGCAGACCACATATCGTTCTGCAAGGCCATAGTTTCACATCTCAAGATCTGACATCCTACTTCTAAATTCATGACATTCACAAAGAGGCTGCGATATATGTTCAAGCCCTTCAAGGGCACTGTTCTTGAATCCCGCCTTCTGCCAGGAAATTTCCGCCGTTTTCCCGGGTATTTCCGCCGTTTTCCCGGGTATTTCCGCCTCTTTCCCGGGTATTTCCGCCTCTTTCCCGGGCATTTTCGCGCCAGGTGTTTTCAACTTTGGACTGGTTTTACTGCTCGTGTGCTCATTCCGCACAAGAAACCTTCAAGAACAAAGACATGGTAGCCAGATTTGCAGGTGGAGGTGGAAACTTAGGCGCCGCCATCTTTTTGTATCATTGAGGTGACCATTCCAGGCAGAAATGCCCAATGCACATGCAAACCACCAAAAAGATTCAACTGTTCTATATAGAATATATGTAGTCTCTCACTAGATTCCTGAAAGGGAAAATTTGCGGCAACAAAAACATTTCCGCGGCAAAAAGTTGGTTTCCGCCCCAGGACGGGGAGAGCCGCTCTTCCCGAAAAAGGCAAGAATTTCTGCCGAAAGGATCTTCTAGGTATAGCTTTTGGGACATGTTTGATGAATCAGTCGTCTCTTCTCTTTCACCAGGTCTTTCACCTTCCGAGATCCAAATCCAAACATGAAGCGATTTCGCTGGGAAAGAAGGCAACACCGAGGAGTGAAACATAGTGAACCCCCGCTCGGTGTGCGGGGGTACGTCCCATCCCGCACCCCTGTCGGGCCCTAGGAGGGATCCGTTCTCATACCGAACCGGGACAACGGTGAGCACTGAGAACGACACTGGAGACGCCAGGTGGTAGGTCGCCAGGGTCGGGTTACCGAACGGTCCGGTAGACTTATTCCTGGATGTATACAGGGCTACACCAACAGAGGTAGATATGGTGACCAGGTCACGAGTCGGACCCGTGAGTCACCTGGGGCAGCCGAACTAGCTAGGATAGTCCAGTTCGTTCGGGTTCGCTCCCCACCTCTGCTGGCAACACAGATCTGTGTCAGGAAAACCCGTCGGGTCCGGTCACCAGTCGGTTTGGAGAGCGAGCTCGATGCGCGAGCGAGCGAGCGAGCTCGATGCCTGCCGGGGTTTTGCAGGGCCTCGTCAATGTGCTTCGGAGACCCTGTGACCTGTGGTGACCTGTGGCGATCTGTGACCATCGGACTCTCCGGTGCAATGGTGGTGAGGTCCTCTTCCCGGCTGAAGTCCAGGAACCGACGATATGTTGACCGGCTGAAGGTTTCAGGAACTTCCCGGACTCAGGTCCCGTTTGTCAGACCATTCTTTTTATCGTCGACTGGACGAAACCAGGGTCTGACTTTGGATCACAGCGAATCCACCGGGCACGACGCTGAACCCGACGCTGAACCCGACCCGACTCCGACTCGGCGCGGCGGACTCGGCGTTGTTGTTGGGACATGGACTCGTGCGGAGGTGTCTCGACGGAGGGGGAAGCGAGACACCAGGCTGTCCGGGAGTGTTTTGTTGGTTTTTTTTTTGTGCCGCCCCAGAAAGACCCACCCTTGTTGGAAGCCACCCACCCCAATGTAGGTACCTACTAGGAGCTAGCACTTCTAGTCTGAGTGCCATGCAGATCGATCGATCGAGGTGGCGCCCACCTTCGTCCTCATCCTCATCGTAGTTCTCCATGTCAAACTCCTGGTCTCGGGCAGCTCGGCAGGCGTTTTCTTGTTTTGTTCCAGGGTATCATATGGCCAGACACGACTCATAGGACTGCCAGTCCGGACTGCCGAGTTTCACGGCCAGGAAGGGTGGTTGAACAGGGGTCAATGGGGCGGCAGAACTATGGCAGTCCCATGGAGTGTCTGGGTATGGCCAGGCTACCTGGGTTGACCACCCGAAACATGAACCGAAGGGACGACCAGAGTCCGAGGTCCGCCTCCACCTATAAACGAAAGGGGAGACGGATACCATTTGACTCGTTCACCGCAGCGTCCACCGGGGGTGGCATACCGGCGAGCGGCGAGACCGGCCGGACCTCCAATTCTCTCCAAGGGCAGGTGTTGCACCTCCCCCCGTCCAGTGGGAGGCGGCTTGCAACACCAAACACCAACAGCCAAAACCAAACTGAACGGACTGGCTCAAGTGTGAGAAAAGCCCCACAAGTTTAGACCCAGGAAACTCCAAGCTTTGACCGATCCCGGAGTCGCTGACCGGATTTCGTGCGTGGGGTGCTCAAGTCCGTCAGAGGCGGATCATATACCCACCTGGACCTTCATGGGGTGTCCTGGCTGGAGATCCAGTGGTGGGCTGGGGCGAAACCAGCCGTACGGTGACCCCGAGGTCCAGCCAGGTGCTGGCAGACAGTCCATTCACAGCCCTGAAACTGGCCCCTGACGCTCCATAGAGATTGGTGAGAACCCCCTGACCCGTCCAAAGGATTCGGCTCCGTCTGAGGGTCCAGCGGGTCGCGTCTGGGGTGGATGTGTTTTTGGAGCATTCCAAGCGCCAGCTGCACTCCCCAAAGTCTCCAAAAAGATCCATGGTCCATCATTAGTTGCGCTATAAGGCCCAAATCCCACCACACTCCGCAAACGCCCTATCAATGGCAGTGAAGAACCCTCTACACCAACATCCAAAACTGACTTCCGCAATTTCTTGTTTCATGAACCGAACTTACAATCTGTTCTTGTTTAGTGTGTGCCTCTGGTTCCCTCCCCAAGGTCTTGCAGGTGATCCACGTATAGCTCACTCCTGAAGGCTGCTCACGAAATCCACACAAGGCTGGCAGCTCCTCTGGTTCCCTCCCCGTTTCCTCAACAGGCCAAACCATCGCCACGATCTCAATCCCGAGTTGCTTTCCCCGCACACTGCACGGTGTGACGCGCGCCACGCACCGCCGCACGACGTGTTCAGGGCCTCCAGCCCCGGGACGGAGCCCTTGGCCACTTGTGCCGCCACGGCGGCCGCGCCCTCGCGCATCTGCTCGTCCTCCTCCTCCTCGCGGAGCGTGCGAAAACGCCGAGGTGCGGCACTGAGAACGGCGATAGAGCGCCAGACAAGTAGCAGGTTGACAACACGAGACACGGGATACTAGGACCCACAAGGGGTGGTTAATGGACACCCCTTAACCTCTAAGGGGCTATCAATAGACACCCCTTAGGGAGACACGGGATAGAAATGGTCTTCCATTCGGACAAGGGGGTTTAGCAAGGTGGGTGTGATGTCAGTTCCAAAGGCCATTTTTTGCAGTGATGGATTGTCATGGAAGACTGGTCATGTCCGGCAGAACAGAAAAAGGCATTCACAATCCATGATTTAGAGCAAGGGGAACTCTGTATTTACATGTTTTATATTCCAAAAATTGGGAGGCCACTGTCCGACTGTCCTGCAACAAAAACGGACACGGACAACTGAAATCGAGAAGAGTGCCACAATGGAAACCATACCAGGACCCACAGTCGGGGTGGTTCATGGAAACCCGGATCACCTAAGGAGCTATCATTAGAAACCCCTACTGAGTGATGTTTCTGGATATTTCTGGGCCGCAAAATCAGCCCTCTTGGACATCTTCCAGCAACATTCGGGTCTACACCTCCACACATGCGAAGATACCGTCCATTCCGCTCAACAGGTCATTCAGAGTTCTCCACTTTCCTAAATACATAGCAGCCAGGCGTCCCGGGACTGTATTGTGATAGTATGTGATAACTGATAACTACCAGGACCTTCCAAGAGGTGTCTATAAACAGCCTCTTAGAGGTCAAGGGGTGCCCAAAAAACCACCTGTTGGAAGGTCCTGGTATAACTATTATTCTTTACTTACCTTTACAGGATGTTGCAGGACACCCCCAAACTATAACCATTCCACCATCTAAGACATCCAACAATCCAAGACTTCGGGTACCCATAATCAAGACCCAACAAAAACCAACAACCGACCTGTTCCATGGTACCATGCAAGAGGCCTAAACCACAAGAGGATGGCAAGAAGCAAAAGGCTCCCTCCTCATGACAATGACTCGTTATCCCCTATACCTTGTACCGACATCAGACATGGTGCCGGTCTTGTTCCTTTTTCATACCCGACCCTTCGAGTCCAGCATACCCCGGTTATCTGTCGCATGACGGTATACCATGTTCCAAACGGTCTGACGAGTTCGGTGATCCGAGTGAGTGCAGGAACTTCCTGAACACTATTGGGTGGTGCCTAAAATAGTCGAACTGGACGTCTATAGGGTAGATCTTCAATGAGTCAACACGGCGTTGGTTCGTCGCAGGTGATTCAATGTTCTTCATACTTCCCATATCTCCCCCCCAAAACACTCCATGGGACCGGAATATTTACCTATATATGCATTGGGGTGGGTGGCTGCAAAGGGTGATTTAGGGAATGCAGGACAGACCCTAGAAGTCCAAAGACTTTGTTTTGACCGACTGATGTAAAGGAAATTCCTGGACTCGGGTCACCCAAAGACCATTCTTTTTATAGTCTCTGACTCCCGGGGTTATGGAATGTAGGATATATTCCAGTCCCATTAGTCGTGTCTGGGTCCCTATACTCCTCCGAGACGTCCTCC